CCAAACTTCATTTTAATGGAATTAAACATACTATGTCCACGTCAAGTACCCGTCCATTAAATTTCAAATTTAATACTGTTCATGGATCTACAGAATTAACCTTAGCAATAAAAAAAAAATATGAATAAGCTATGCAAAAAGGTAGCACTGCTAGCTCAAAAAATAATATGGGCTAGATTCTCTAGCTCAAGGTTAACATTCACACAGCCTTTAAGACAGACGTTGCATTAAGAAGGTATCTAAAAGCTTTGTCATGGATGGGAGGGAAGTTACAGCACTGCATAGCAGAGCAGCCACTGCAGGCTGTGCCCAGTGCAGTGCTTCACACAAGTCCTGGCATTGCACTGAGGTACTCTGTAGTGAGGTGCTGCTTCTGCCACTGCTCTTTGGAGGCTGTCTACAGGTATCACTGCAACTCATACAGCCAGAAAGTGCTAAGTTCAAGATGGAAAAGGCAGGTTAAAAGCCTATAGAGACCTCTGTTGAAGGATGTAAGATCTATGTGTCTCTGTTGCATCAATACAGACACAGATTATCAACTAGATCTGTGCTATAGGTATCAAACAGCCTTCCTCTGTTACACATCTTGCTTCTATATAAGTGCCTTATAACTTCCTTTCTCCTTATAACCACTACAAAATCTTTGAGTGCTTTTTGAGACCCTTGATCTCTAGAGGAACATTTCTGAACCGAAGTTCAGTGTACCTCCTTGCATTACATAGCATGGCATTTCTTTGTTGGCACACAGGAATCTTTAGGAGCAAAGATATGCTGGTATTTGCTTGTATTTGTTTCCATCTCAGCACACGAGGTGAGCAACAGGAAAGGGAGCAGGAAAGCACAGAGCAGTCTGCAGGCAGTGACACAGCCCCTGTCCAATCTTTTGCATTGTCAGTTGCAGAAAGGAGAGAGCAGCAACTCATCACAGAACACTTGAGCACAAAAAAGATGGTCCTTTTCAACCTGTCCCTGGTATCACAGCCAGACAAGGTGATCACAGGACAAGTGAGAAGTGACTGTGAAAGACAGAGGTGAACAGGCAACAACAGCCAAAGGATAGACAGAGCATAAGCACAACAAAGGCATATTAAGCCAACACTTATAAATAACTTGTCTAAAGGCTTCACCCAGCTGCATTCAAAACTCACCCAAGGTTGACTCTAGCCTTATACAAAGTCAGCACAGATGCAAAACAACCATGATTGCACTCTGTAATGGTAGTACTAAAGCCAAGTTCAGGGCGGACATGCTTCATGCTACCATCCAGGTATAAGGTACATGTGCAAGGTGGCAGATTCAGCATCAACAAAGGACAAGTAAGAACAGCAGCCCTACCCAGCTGTCACTGATTTCTCATTTAAGAAGAGTGGAGAACTCAGCTCTGCCTGGTACAGTACTCAGCAGTCCTCCCTTTCCTAGGGCCAGAGGATTACTCTGCTCAGCTAATACTCAGGTTAGAGTCATCTGCTATCAATGTTAGTAAATCAGTCAGTGAATTCTCAGAGAAGAGCGAGACTGCTTTATAAATATCAACACTTCCAAGTTTTAAATTTTAAGTTCTATCTTCCTTCGTATCTACCTGTTAGGCATGTCCTCTTAAAACTTATGTTACAAACTAAAGAATAGAAATGTTTTGTGGAAGTCAACATGGAAAAGACATTACATGAATTTCAGGTTGAAAATGCAATTAACCAGTCTTATCCTGGTTTCTTGAAACATACAGATTTGAAGGCTGGACTATCAGATGGACAAAGAATTGGTAGGCAAGGGGTTGTTCTCAACAGCTCTATGTCCAGGTGGAGGCTGGTCTGAGAATGGTGAGGCACTGGCACATGTTGCCCAGAGAAGCTGTGGATGCCCCATCCCTGGAGATGTTCAAGACCAGGTTGGATGGGGCCCCAGGCAGCCTGATCTGGTGGGTGGCAGCTCTGCCTATGGCAGGGGGGTTGGAGCTAGATGATTTTTAAGGTCCCCTTCAAAATAAGCCATTCTATTATTTTTGTCCTGCTTCATAATATCACTTTTCTTCCCTGAGTTCAAACTATCAAGTGCAAAATTTAGAAGTATTTATTTGAGGCTTACCTGCAATCTGTTGTCAAAAAATAAATACTTTTATTCTGGAGTTATTAAAAAAAAACCCAAACCTTCTGTACTGTGACTTCTGACCTGCTTCCAGTATTCATTAGTCAGGTACATGAAAGTCACGGTTGCCAGAGAAACTGGGTTCATTTCCCCATGCTGACAAAGAAACCAGAAGAGCACTAATATCTCCAAGGCTTTTATGAGCTTACTCAACCTCAGCCTTTATCACTTCCACCAACTTTATTTGATCTGAATTTTCAGGGTGCAAAATCCTCACTGACAACTATAGGCAATGCATGACCTGGGCAATTTCTCTGCAGCACAGACTGCAGAGGCAAAGGTTCAATAGGCCAAGGTAAATTTTTGTTTAGGTTTTCTAATTGCCCTTAAAAAAATACATTCAAGACAAAGGAAAAAAAGGCCTATGACTACCCAGAAAATAACAGGGAAACAAAACCACAGTCACAGGATGATTTTTGCTTCAGAAGAAATGAATACTGACACTGCATATGGATGGTGTATGTTCTCTGACAGTCTTAAAATGCATCTTTTTTTCCTATATACTACTGGTATTTATTATTATTGTATGCTACGGGAACATTCGTTAGAGCTGCATGTTATTAAAAGCAGAATAACAGAAAAATCTTCTAGATAAAGCAAGAGAGACTAATACCAAATGCTCTTTAGGAAAGCATCCCCTATCAGCAGAAGTAACACTTCTAGCAGGATATAAGCAGTCCCACCTTGAAGTTCTGTCTATCTTCCATTACTCTGCTTTTGTAACTTAAAGATGCTGCTGAATCTTACCGATGTACAAAAGATGCAGTGGCATTCCTGCAGAGTGGTCATCTTATCCAGGGAATATTCACAGAGACATAGCTTGCAAGTGAGCAGGGGCTCCAGTGCTAAGTCTCCAGCTTCTGACTTGTCAGCTGTCATGGTGTCAGGGCTAGGCTTCCCTGCAGAGCCCATTCTCTCATCAGTTGTCCTTTCTGCCTGAAAAGAGAAAACAAGAGCTGAAGCATCACACAGGCCATGTAGCTACTTCTCATTGAAGAGAGAACTTACAGCCCCTACACACCTAAATGTACTGTCATCTTGGTGCCAGTCTTGTGCTTCAAGATATTTCACCAAAAGGTGCCTGAGAGCCAAGGACCCCAAAAGACCTGAACTGGACTGCATTCTCAGAGAAGATTTACCTTGTTGGCATTAAACATATCAGTCAGGGCACTTATCATCAAATTCAAACACAAATCACATAGATTAGACATTGCTTATATTGCACGCAACAGTATTTTTGTATCTAACCCACGACCATGGAGCTCTTCCACTTAACTCGCAGGGCTCCTAGGCATCTAAATGAGTTTTGTGAGCCTTAAACTAAGTGCACGCTTCCACGGAGCTGCTCTGAATAACCATGTCCCCAGAGCTTGGAGAAGAAATTCCTAACCTTAGAGAAGCACCAATGGAATGGTGCTCCTCACAGAAATATCATGCTTAAATATAATGAAACTTGTTTCATAAGCATGGTATTTCTGTGAGGAGCACTTATTGCCACCTCCAAGAAACACGGCCTGAATTCCACAGACTTGCTTCTGAATACACTTATCTGATGGCAAGAAGACCTTCACACAGATTTCTGACAAGCAGAGGCCTGGTGGCCAGCTGCACAAAACCACCTGCACCAGCACAAAGTGAAAATGCAACACCACCAATCTAGGAGGTTACTTTACAAATGGAGGCTATGTGAACATGAAAACAACAGGGGACCAAGACTTGTCTGTGTGCCTGTCAGCTCTGACATCTCATAAGGCAAAGAGGAGACTTGAGCCCTGTGGTCCACTTGTGATTCCCTCCCCTGCAGCCTCATGTGTCCCCATGGCAGGGCTGTCAGGTCACATTTGGCAGCATGTCACTGCTGCTGTGCTGCTGCACCCCAAGCGGTCATGCCAGCTGCAGCTGGTCCATGTGTACACAGTGCACTAGTTTGCAATACTACTGAATTTCTCCCCAGAAGGAGAAATGAAGATGCTCATGGAGCTAGAAGAGGCAACACACGTGAAACCTTGCCCTACAGCTCCTATCCCACAATATGGCACACGTTTGAGACCCATTCCCATGCCTGCCCCATGAGGCTCACGTCCAGAGTTCCTATGAGTCTGCAGGAAGACCATTTCCCTTCAAAAGCTATGCAACCACAATAGATCTGGGTGGAGCACACTTTTTCACTCTTTAGTTTCCTAGTCCAACCTGGAATAGAAGCCATCAGATGCGTCCCTTGGTATGTCTTTCCTGTAAGCAGCCAGTCTGAGAGACACAAGAATCATAGCCAAGATCCTGGCAACCAAGTTTCTGTCTGCTAATCCAAAGAAAATCCTCCTTTTAATGCCTTGCTATCACTGTGCTGTGCCTGCATTATTTTCGGCTCAGTCTCCACCTGCAGTCTCTACCATGCAGTCCCCACAACACACTCCATACAGCTGCAGAGCTGGAACTCCAGCATGGCCAGAAGCCTTGGAATGAAGCTTCCCTCTGAGTCAGAAACTGCAACACTCTTCTGTAATTACTGCAACAGGAGGGAAAAAAAAAGAAGCAGTGAGTCACTGGAAACGCTATGGCAGATCAAGAACTACCTGCTATTTCGAACGACGTGTCAGACGTTATCTCAGTGTTTGGGAGAATTATAACACGTTTACTCAACTGCGTCCATAAAGGTAAGCTACTCATCTCCACATGCAGAGCACCCTGTGGAAATCTCCAATAAATGACAGAAAGCAAACCTGGAGGATCAGAGCATCCAGCCCCCAGCACAGCCCTGGCTCACCTCACCACAACCTCATTAACCCCAGCACAGTTCAGCAAATGAAGCAGCCAGAACTGCAGCCATGAGCACAACCACGCAGCCTACCTACAGAGCATCTGGGGAAGGCACCACAGCCACCAGCAGCTGCTCTCCCTCCACGCCAGCCCATCCATAAGTTCTTCTCCAGGTCAGGCTGGCACAGGCAAAGCTACCCTGTTAGTATCTGAAAAGATGGCCAGCAAAGTGAGAGCGTGTACACAACCTGCTCCTCTTCCCCAAGCAACCTAATTAATCGGTTTGCTTCTGCCCACCAGAACTGCTACTTTTGCTTCTGCTGCCACAAAAAGAATGCAGAAAAAAAGGTCACAAAGAAGGACAGCCCATACAACGGCAACTGGACTCTGAAGAGAAACCAGGCCTGGTGAGGTAGTTCATTCCCACAATCAGAATAGTCGGTGGAAATGATGGGGGGAGAAAAAATCACTTGTCTTCCTCTTGTTCTCAACCTCTACTCCTCCTTTTCCAACACTTCAGGATCCATCGTCCTCTCCCAAGCTCTCAAACCCCCTCCTCAGCTTTAGCATCACTGTCAGAACTGACTTTTCCATCCACTGTGGAGAAGCTCTGAAGTTCCAGCTCAGTTCCTCCAAATTTTTACAGTTTTTACTTTGCTAGGCCCAGTTCCATAGGCTGTCATTAGTTTATTATACATCCATTACCACTCCTTATAGTGGATTAAAATTCCTACTGTAATTACAAGTTGCAAAGAATTTAGGTTGAAAACAAAACATCTTGAATGTCCTGCAGGGGAAGAAGGAATCAGCTGAGGACAAAGTTGAAAAAGAGCATTCTATATTTGGCTATATTAATAAAAAATATATATGAATATATTCTGTTATATTAATAAAAATGACCAGAAATAAAAGTAAAGTCTCTGAAAAAAATAAAATGGACCTTCATAGTCCATTCTAGACCATAGACCTTCTAGGTCTTCCTTTTCATGTTCACACACACAAGTAACCTGCTTAGGATAGAATCCAAAATGAAGCAAGAAATATAACATGGAAATAAAATAATAATAATAATAATAAAAAAAAAAAACCCAGAAAAAAACCTCCACTGAACAACAACAACAGAGGCTTCATGAAATCTTGTGGAGCAAAGAAAAACTCAGGGATGCACTAAAACAGAGGAACATATTAGACGAAATTCTGCACCAGTACAAATCAGTCAAACTGACTCAAACTGGTCAAACTGGAGGTGCAGAGAAGAGCTGCTACAGCTTGTGATGAAAATCCCCTCAGCCCCTCTGCCACTTTCTGGGGAGAGGCAGAGAATTTGGGGATGAAGAAGTGAAAGCAAGCCTAAGAAAAAAGGAGGGTAGAGAGAAAGTGGTGTGTTAAGTTTTGGGTTTGTTTCTCACCACCCAAATCTATTTTAGCTGGCAATAAACTGATTTTCCCCGAGTACAGCCTGCAACCCCTAGGTTGAAAATTTCCCTGTGAGCATGCCCTGTAAGGTAACATTCCTGTGACAGTCGTACAAAGGCTCGTGTAAGTCTGCCCAAATGCCTTAAAGTAAGATTACCAGTCTGGAAGAACAAAAGTTACTCTGTGTAAGTGACAGCACAAGCAGGCCAGGCAGTTTCCTAAACTGCAACGTTAGGACATTATCTGTGTGCCTGCAACCAAATCACCATTTAGCTGAAAAAATGTGTCTGGGTGTGACTTTTGCCACTTAGAAACATCATGCAAAATCATGAAAGGTTTCCGCACTGGTGCTGGAGGAGAATGAATGGATTATATTCAGTGCCATAAATCACCCTTTCATTTTTCACGCGCTGTATCCAATAACAACAAGAGTTCTTAGAGAAGCTCCTTCAAGCCTTGTGTTTACAAACAATTCTGCTGAAGTTAGCAGAGCTGTATGCTTTTAGCTCAGTGCTGAGTTTAAAGAAAGCCAAGGAAAGTACCAAAATGAATAAGCTGCTGCAGGAAATATTCACAGGACAAAAAGGGTCCTTTGTATGTTTTTCAGGCTGCTGTGTGCCCAAGCCCAGTTGATGAGACAGGGTAAGAGCCCTGACATCCTGTCTACGCCAAGCTTCGCCCCTAAGCTTGCCATAAGCCAGCTCCCTAGGGTGGACGTGCATGTACATGGTGGGATTGCAAAGAGGTTTGGGTCAGGTGTGGGCCTAGCACATAGCAATGCCTCCCCACTTCACAAAAAATCAGTAACAGAATGACAGAACTGACAGCACCTGTGTAAAATTCCTACTTAGTGTTCCAGGTATTTATCAAACTTTATTAGAGAAATATTTGCAAGCGCTGCATTTCTCATGCCGTAGAGATTTTTGAAGTACTCCACCCATAACAAAATGTCTTCAATACCATATAAAAATCTCTTTTGACATTGTCAGCACAGCATTCAGTTGTTGCCCACAGCTGGGATTTCTGCCTTAAAAAGAAAGCAACTACCTAAAGAATGTAAGTGTGCAAAACCATCAGAAAGAAACAGGTCCTTGGGGAAAAAGAACTGTCATAAATATAATATTTATTTCTAAAATATAACTGTAGTATTGAGATAATGGAGTCAGATCACAGAAGACATAAACTAAGCTGTGAAATTAGGACATGTGAAGACAGGTGTCAGAAACTACACGTTTGTGTTATGTGTTTACGAGGGTGGCTAGTGATAGGACAAGGGGGAATGGTTTTAAACTGAGACAGGGGAGGTTTAGGTTAGATATTAGGAGGAAGTTTTTCACCCAGAGGGTGGTGAGGCACTGGAACAGGTTGCCCAAGGAGGCTGTGGATGCCCCATCCCTGCAGGCATTCAAGGCCAGGCTGGATGTGGCTCTGGGCAGCCTGGTCTGCTGGTTGGTGACCCTGCACATAGCAGGGGGTTGGAACTGGATGATCGTTGTGGTCCTTTTCAACCCAGGCCATTCTGTGATTCTATGGTTTATAGGATCAACTTCAACAAAGTTGTTCAATCATCTTGACCAGTTCTGGTTGCGTGCCCTTAGCTGTCCCAACTCTCTCAGGGCGGTGTTATTCAAAATTTGCATTTAGTATAGTTTTTTTGAACTCAGTGATTCTGCACAAAGATTGGTCTGAATCAAGCATGCTGTTGCTTCTGTGGTCTAATAGACTGGCTGCTAAACCACAGTGCCATCATCTCCTCTTTTGAT